AAGAGAAGAGAAGAGAAGAGAAGAGAAGAGAAGAGAAGAGAAGGGGGCCCCTAAAGAGAACATTCACTTTGTGCATGAAATAAAAGTCAGCTTTAAGGCCCTACCAAGTCCAGAATCATCTTACATTAGCTCAGACTAGCTGTTTTTATTTAGAACAATAGCTGACACTTAAAATTTTAAATATTTTAATATGATATATTTTTACCATTTTTCCACTCCCCCAGTCTGTCCCACATTCCCTCCAACTCATCTTCCCAACATTATGTTTTTTCTTTCTTTTAAAGTAACACAAAGACACATAAACACAAAACGCAAATAAAACACAAAAATTAAAATCAAAACAATCAAAAGACTAGTAAAACAAAAAAGTAGTATACACAAAAACCAAAACCCCCACAAAGTTTGTTTTGTGTTAGTGTACTAATACTGGAAACGAGGCCTGTCCTGAAGTTTACCTGATATTCCCATTGACATTTCACCAAATAAAAATGATTTGTTGCTCTGCCACCAGGAATCAATTACAATAGCATACTGGTTTTAGATAGGACCCTACATCCCTTTTTCGCTCTTAGTGCTAGGACCCAATGTGGCTTTAACCTGTGCAGGCTTGTGCATGCTGCTACAGCCTTTGTGAGTTTATTTATAGATGTATTAGTCCTGATATTTCTGGAAGACATTTTTCCTTGGAGTCATCATAAGCTCTGTGTTTTTCCCTGTGGATTCAAGGGAAGGATCAGAATACATTGTATACATGTATGAACTTCTTAAAGAGTAAAGTAAAATGTAGACAGAAAGATTTTGATGTAAAACTAGAAAAGAAAATTCTAGTTAATGTTACCAATTATAATCTGCATGGCCTTCTGGTACACACAGCTAAACCATGGAATGCTATGGGATATGAGTGTCAGAGGATGTCCTGTGCACACCCATGAACATGAATTCAGAGGTGACAGCAGGATGTCAGTGTCCTCCTTCATCTTTCTTGGTCCTTTTCCCTTGAAGCATGTTCTCTCACTGAACCAGAAGTCAACCACTTCTGAGTCAACAAACTCTCAGGATCTGCCCACTGCTCTCTTCTGAGGTTATGGGAACAGCCTAAGGATTCAGTCTCCCATATTCATACTTTGTAAAACAAGTACTTTTACTGAGACATCTCTCCCAGCCATCTTAGCTTTCATGGCTAAATTACTATTGTTTATTAATGACACTTGTATGAACTGTCCTTACTCAAAACAGAAATTATGTTTTAAGATCAACACTAAAATACTGAATCTTTCTGGGAACATCATCAAGATATTTCACTGGGAGACAGAAAATAATAACACAGAGAAAGTTTCAAGGAAAGTATAGAACTGAAAAGATGCACTTCAGGACAAAGTCAAAAATGAGAAATAAATAGAAATGGAAACACAGGACTCGGGAAACAGATCAACTGGTAGAGTGTTCATTTTACCAGGAGGACCTGAATTCAATATTCAGAATCAATGTTTTATTAAAAAAAAAAGAAAAGAAAAATGGTCTTGGTGGTGGTGCCGAGATATAGAAGGCACAATGAGAATGGTAATCCCTAATCCCATTGCTAGGAAAAGTGAGACTGATAGATCCCTGGGGTTTGTTTGCTAGGGAGATGTCTTGTCTCAAAAAAAAAAAAG